CCCATGGCTTGTCTTTTATCATTCCTTGTCTGTCTAGAGCTTTCTTACTGAGACATTCCTTTGAAAATTAAAGATAACTGCTGGGCATGATGACACACACCTGTAATCCCAGCACTCTGAGAGGCTGAAGCAAGAGGATTACAAATTTGAGGCCAGCCAGGGAAGTTTAGCAATATGGTGAGACCCTGTCTCAAAACATAAAGTAAAATAAAAAATACAGAAAAATAAAATGGGTTGGGGATGCAGCTCAGTGCAAAGATCCTGGGTTCAATAGAAAAAAAAAAAAAGCTAATAAGAAAGTCTTTTTTTAAAAAGTCCTAAACCATTATTGTTATGATTTGACCAATAACACTGTTTCAAAAGATAAAGAAGTATTCTAAAAACTGTCCTTGCTAGCTTTTAGAAATGAGCTCTAGATAACCTCAATTCATGTTCCCCCTTATCACAGGGTTACGAACACAAGAGTTTTCATCATATTGGCCCTTGAAACATCTTGCCTTTCTCTCATTGCTTGGACAGCAGCATGGCCAGCCCAGGGTCTTCTCTACAACCAGCAGCAAGAACAGGGATGACATCAAACCAGATACAGAATTTCAAGCACTCTGCACCACTTGAGTGGACCTACTGAAGGCTTGGAGTGGAGCAGGAGATGTAGAGATGTACACATCTGCATGCAAATTCTCCTAAGAAATCCTCCTGGTGAGTCCACAAAGATCTCACTTCAACCTGGAAAATGTCTCTCCACACTTTCCACTGCTGCCTCCTCTAAACAACAAGGAGGACTGTGACCAACAATTACAGAAAGTTACATTCAGGAAGGGATTTCAGTCCTTGTGTGGACCAAGCACAATGGCATTTTAGGGATTAGAATGAGATGCTCATGCCAATAAACACACGTTACTTATTTTGATGCATGATTTTAAGTCTACTTTCTTTCTAATGCATTTTAAGGTTAATTGGAAAAACTGATTCTCAGCTCAGAGTAGGGTGCTTGGGGCAACAAATCCCAGCTTGCTCCTGGCTGGGCTACCCTTTTTCAGAACAAAAATATTCAAAATTAATATTACAACATACAACCTTAATGAGAGAAATACTTCCAGCTAGAGAAAATGGTTCTAAGGCACACTCCTTTGCCGGAAACCCTGTAATTAGAACCATATGTTGTTATTTAATTTCCTGAATGCCCACTATTATAGGTAAGACTTGGTGGTAGGGATGGAATACAGACAGAGAATGAGTAAACTCCTTGCTGAGAAGTTCAAATCCAGGGGGTGCAAATCATTCCTTACCCATCAGAGTAAATTAGGAACGAAAATTAAATGTATTATCTGGGGTCTTAGGAGAAAAGTGAAGGTTAAAAAAATTGTGAAACTCAAGTAACTATATATCCATAAGTACATGGGTATTTGAGTACAAGTCCATATACGTGTACATTTTAAACTGTGTTTATTCATGTGCATACACACATACACATCTTTATCAACCCAGAAAAAAGATGGTAGGATCTCCATCACAGTTCAGAGGAATTGATTAAAAAGCACAATAGTATATAGAAAAACTACTATATGAAAATGTGAACACTCGTTTGTCTGTTCCTTAAAGCTGTTTGCTTAAGTAAGTCTTACTGAGGGCTCTGCTAACAAATGGTTCAGCCCACAGTAACAACTGGAGGGGCCTCCGGGTGCCAGAGTACCGGTGCCTCCCAGGGCCTCACCTTGAGCACCTGGTCAGTATTCTGTGCAGTTGGGTGGGTAGAGCCAGCTACCTACCCTTGGGCATCTCCTTCCCTGCTGCTGCTTGGCATTTCTTTAACAAAGAGAAAGCTTTCAATCTTGGAGGAGACAAAAGGCTGCTTTAAAATAACACGCTCAGAATAGTCAATCATCCATGAAGTATCACAAAAGCAACAGATCTATTAGAACCTGCCTCCCTTCAGTTAGTGCCTTCTGGGTTAGTGCTAGGCAAGGCAGGGGTCAGGGAGATGAAGTGGAGAGGGCCTCACCCAAAGAGAAAAGTTAACGAAGGACAAGACAAAGGGCAAGGAAATGTCCTGAGTCTTATTCCCAATGTCCAGGGCACTCCTGCTGTCCCTTTGGTTAGAATAAGCCCATTGGAAGCCCGCTGGCCACTGCTAAGAGCCCATTACCTGATGTTACCACTTCCCTGGTTGTGCCACTCAGGTATGTCTGATGCATTTTAAAATTTTGTTTGGTTTTGAGACAATGTCTTGCTATGTAGCCCAGGGTGGCCTTGAACCTACAATCCTCCTGCTTCAGCCTCTTGAGTGATGGGACTTCCTACATGCACCACCATGCCTAGCTCTTACCTGATGCATTTTTATATCTGCTCTCTCGTGTTCCTGACAGTCATTAAAGAATGAGCAATTTTATCACACATGCAGTCCCACTGCAAAGCAAGTGCTCTGCCACGCAAAGTCAGTGTGCAAAGTTAGGAATTCATATTCTGCATTTTCTCCATAAGTGAAATGATATCATAAATTGTCATTAGTTTCTTTCAGCTTCAGCCTCTAGAAGCATCCCTTGGGCCCAAAGCATTCACAGGCTCCATTCCTCCAAGACTTCCTAGAAGGAGCCTACTGTCCCAGAAGGAGCACATTTTCACCAGCAAGAACATGACATGTGAAATGTGGTATCTGAAGTCACACACAAACCCACCATGTAGGGCCAGCTCACTGACCTTGACAGCATAAACGACAGCTTATCCCAGGCAGAAGTGACCAGCTCAAAAGAGAAATAGTGATTTTCATCCCACACAGATCCTACTCTAGCACTTCTGAGCAGTGATTGCTTTTGTTGGCAGACCCAGTGGTCTTTCCTATTGATATCTACCATGGAGGAGGGGTTTTCTTTGTTTTATGTGACAAGTCAGTGATCGCTATATCAGTATACCAGATCCTCAGTGGGAGCAAGGCAGAACCCCCCTTAATGCACACAGCAACATGGGGAGAAAGACAAGCCACCCACATGAGCAGGCACACATGCTCTGGGAAGAATTCTAACATGAACACTAGCAAACACAAACATGTGAATTTAGAATTTGCTTCCATCATAGTAGTAATAAGTGGAAACTCCAGATATCCCCCCCATAATATGAAAATCTTATTTAATCAGTGAGCGGATGAGATATAAGGGTTCAGTATCTTGCATATAGCTTCAAGATTGGTGAGCGTCTGGGAGGGATAAAATGCTGTTTCATGTTTGGAGATTAAAAAAAAGAAACTTTCTGACAAGTTATAAAGAAAATAGAATAATCCATTTGCCTTATTGCTAGCATCATTGTCAATATTAAATGCTTTTTGGATGCTCTACTGAGGCTCCTGACTCCTAACTTTGTCTCCAGACACACTCTTTCCACTGCCATCCAGCTTTCTCGGTTTAAGTGGCAGCTATGCTACCTAAATATTGAGAAAACAGCAAAAACAGTAACAACCTTCCACGGCAAATAATGAAATTGAACATCCACCTAGTATACACTCAGAAGCCAGCTGTTCTGGTCCCTTCCAGAAGTGACTCAGTTGGATGCCAGTGTCTTCTACAGGGTACTGGGAAGTGGATGCCAGCTGGGGCTCCACAGTCAGATACAGGAGAAGCCTGTGCTGTGGCCCCAAGGAACTGTAGCATCATGAAGCAACTGTGCAAGGCTGAAACTCTGCTTAGGGACCTAGGCCAGTGGCCTTGAGGTCCTGTTTGTCTTTAAGGTTCTGTCCTTTGTGTGGATTATAAAGAACAGATGTTCAATTTCCATCACGGAGAGAGAATCTGAGCGCCTGACACCACTAAATGGGGAGCTCGCTAAGCTTCCTCTCCCCCCCTACCCCGCCTCCTTTTTTTTTTTTTTGCAGAGAATATACACATTACTGGAGTCGGGTTCCTACAAATGAGGAATCCTCACAAAATCCAAAAATGGAATTTGAAGTGTTCATCCCTAGCCATTTGTCGTTGTTAGATCTTTAACATCTGTTCTTCTGCTGCAACCTAAACAAGCAGCTCTAAACTTTGAGTTGTAAAAACGCCCTTTCGCTTCTCTCTGGGGCCCTCCTATCACACCCCGACTCCCAACCAGACAACATTTAATCTGTGTAAAATGCATAGCTTAGTCTTTTAGACAGGTTCTTCCTGTCAAACAAGTACTCAGTCCCTTTGGCAAGAAATAATTGGCAAGAAAGGAATTCTCCTCTGAATGTACTTTTTTTTATTCATTAAGTTTATTAGTACATTTTAGGTATACAGTATGATGACATTCATCATTGGGAATTTGTACCTTTACATGATATATCTTGGTTCTTATTTTTTTTTCCTATTCTTTGCCCTCCCTTCAACTCTTCCACCCCTCCCTATTTACAAAGACTTTGTTTCTGTTTTTTTCTTTTCTCATATTTATTCCTTTCAGGCTTTTGCATTCTTAAAAACAGCAGGAGTCATTTCTTATTAAAAGGGTCACCCCCGTTTTTACTGGTATGTTGGGTGCTTACTGACGTATTTCTTCCTCCACAATTGTGTTCTCTCTCACACTCTTCAAATTGTCCTATTGAGTTGTTTTTTCCATTTTAAGACAAAAAAATTTTAAAACACAGAAATACCCAATGACAGGGCCAACAGAAAATCAGAAGAGACATGAAAGAACTCCTTTTGTTTTGTCTGACAATGAAACACTAGGGAACTCAAGCAAGAAACTGTATTTTTGGTATCTTCAGTTTATACCCTAGGCGAGGCTCTAAGGTATTCTTTAGTATATACACCTATACTCATTCCTAAGCCCCAAAGGGAAAGGCTTAGCTGTCCTTATGCCCATCAGACACAAGCATCCCAAGGGCAGGTGGGAGGAACCTTCCGGAGAAGGAGACAGTGCCGCTGCCCTCACTCAACCTCCCAAATTGACCAAAAAGGAAACTTGACATAAAGAGGTTACTTGCTTTCTGCTCACATTTACAAAGCAAATTATTATGGAACTGGACTTAGATTCCTGATTTTTTTTTTTTTTTTGGTACCAGGGATCAAACTCGGGTCCTCGCGCTTTCGTAGCAGGCGTTGAAACCACTGAGCTAAATCCCTGGCCCCTAGATTCCTGATTTTTTAACACTTCTGTGTTTGTGGCGTCTCTTGTACTGGAGATGCTTGGAAGCACACGGAGCCGTGGCTGGCCCTGGACAGAGCTAGGAGTGTACTGGTCAGGAGAAGCCTCTGCCTTCAGCCCCACCTTGGACCCCGCCACTCAGACCCCCTGACTTCTGAGGCCCTTAACAGCCCCTGACAGCCCATAGCATCACCTCTTCCTTGGTGGATGGTCCCAGCTAGGGGATGGGACAAAGCTGTCCGGCAAAATCATCACCAGCCATGCCTTGCCTGGGGGAGCTAATGGAGTCACGTGTGCCAGGGACCATCTTGGGGCCACCAGATCAGCAAAATAATGAACACCATTGATCATCACAAACAATACAATTAGCTCATCCTGATTTTCATTTCAGGCTTCATCTTCCTTCCATTTAGATATGGAATTTGTTATTTATAAAGTGACATTCCCAGATGTTCCTGTGACTTCTGAGGATGTTAAACAACACAAATTCCGTTGTCTTTGAAAGAGCCCAAGGGGTTTTATTCTCTACTTGGTGTGGGGCTTGGCCGTCCTGCCGAGGAGTGAACCCTGGCTATGATTCTCCAGCCTGGGAGGCTGTGTGCACAAATGTGACATGATCTGTCCTCCATGAGTCTCAATGTTCCGAGGCAGTGAGGTGAAGAGGACATCTGGAGCTGCTGCAGAGAGAGAGAAGGCTGAGGAAACAGTCTCTGTGAGCCTTGTATCTTGGCCCTTTCTTGGCATCCAGGAGGCAACACATCATGGCCCGGACCCCAGCAGGATTTGGGATGCCTCAGACCCCTAAGCTTCAGGGGTGGGTATGGGGCAATCGGTGCCATCTACCATCCTCAGGTGGTTTGCTCGGCCAGTGACCTGCTTATCAGCAACAGAAAGACCTGATCCCTCCCTCAGCTACTCAGTGTCCTGTGGCCCAAGCCTTGGCTCGGTCCTAGAGTCTCAAGAGAGAGTGGCTGGGAGCCAGACATAGTGGCACATGCCTCTGATCCCAGTACTCGAGAGGCTGAGGAAGGAAGATCACAAGTTTAAACCAGCCTGAGCAACTTAGCCACTTAGGGAAACCCTGTCTCAAAATAAAACATAAAAATAGGGGGTAAAGCTCAATGCAAAGGCCCTGGGTTCAATCCCCTTACTAAAAGAGGAAGAGAGAGAGAGAGAGAGAGAGAGAGAGAGAGAGAGAGAGAGAGAGAAATCGATTGGGGCTGAGCTGCCCATCAGCTGACTGACTCCAAGTCAGTCAGGGGACTGATGAGTCCATAGAAATGGAGTCCATGAAGTGCCAGAGTTCCTGCTTGCTGCTCCTAGAAGGGTGGGTAGACCAAGTGGAGCCCTGATGGATTCCTACAAGAGGCCTTGGAATAAAGTCAGCAAGAAGAGCTGGCCCTGCTCCTCAGGGTTAGGGCAGCAGAACTTAAATAGGGGGACTGGCCAGGGCCAGGAGCTTGTGAGTGAGAGGATGGGCAGGTGCATTAAAAATCAGCACAGATGGACAGAGGTCACATAGGCACAATCTGTGACAATCTCAGGCAATACAGAGGTAGGGAGGGAGCCTTCAGCCTCAGGAATGCCCGGATGTGTCAGGAGTCCAGAAAGGCCTTGCAGTCAAACTGCAGCAATAACCACACCACCTTCCCCGGAAACCTGCAACCCATAACACTGGACAACAATAGGATTGAAATCCATTTTTTTCCTTGCTCTTTCCTCACTTCCTCCCTGGGATGTTCCTATTCGAAGGCCAGGCTTTGACAGGTGTGGCAGGCTGAGGCTGCCCTGGTCCCCACTCTGCTGGCCACTGTCAAAGGACTGCCTTCTGCAGCCTGATTCCTTGTGTCCCTCAAGCCTCAGGCAGCAAAGGTGAGGGCAGCATTGCCTCGATCTCTGCAGCACTGTGCCACCTGGCTGCTTCTGCACAGAAGCTGGAGAACAGAGAACCTGGAAGAGCAGGACAGCCTGGAATTCACAGCAGTGTCCAGAAAAGGAGCAGGAGGGATGAAGGCAGAGCCAGGCAGCAGGGGAGTCCAAAAACAGGACTGCTGGCCAACTCCACAATGACACCTTCAATAGTTCTGGCCCAAACAACAAACGCAAAGACTGCTCAATATACTAAGTCAATCTCCCAGAAATCACATCTGCAGATAAAAAAAAAATAGTCAATGAGTAGTAATTTCACATGGTTCAGCCTAACTCAGGTCAGCCTTACAGCTGGACAGGCTGTCCTCTTGCAGCTCAAACTCCTAAAAAAGCAGCCTTCTCCCTGCCAGGAAGGACTCCTTCCTGACTGCCCAAGACTTCTGACGAGTCTAGAGTGCTCCCATTCCCCCGTTCCAAGCCTTCATCTCCCCAGCTGTAGGTGCTTCTTCTGGTTAGGTACCAGGACATTCCCATGATAGTTACTGGATTGTTGTCACTGGTGAGATTCCTGGACTCAAAAGAGGGATGTGGCTCATCCAGAGTGACAGCACACTTCTCCCTGATGTCACATTCCTACTCACAGGGCTTACTGAACAAATAATTATTTCCTGAAACGTGCTAGGGTACTTTTAGGCTCTCTCCCAAGTGACAGGCATCAGCACCCACTCCACTCCTGTCGTGTGAGTTGGTCACCTCTCCAAACCTTCCTTGCCTGCCTGAAGCATGGGATGTACTCTTGGGGCTCTGGGACAATATCTGGATTCTCACGCCGGCCTGCGGATCTTACTTGCTTAGTAGCATGCTCTTTCTGCTCCCGGTTACTCTTTGTAATCTTTATTACTTTACAGTTAATCCTATGTCAACACTAGCTAGCCTGTGTTCCAGGGCATCTTCCAGATGTTCATTGAGAGAATATGCACACCACAGTGACCGTTTAATATCCCAGGCCAAGTAACACCAAAGGTTTTGATTTCCTCCATCTTGGGGACATACTGCCTCTCAGGGAGGAGGGAAAAAGCAGGGGTTGGGAGGATACTCATCTGTGGTACCTGACATCTTCAAAATGAGAGTAGTGAAAACTCTGCTTAGGGAAACCAAGGTCCCAGAAAAAGACGTCTACAAGGAAATGCAAAATTCTAACATAGCCTAAGACCATAACCAACATACCCACCCAGCAAGTCTGGAAACACTATTATGGAGCCTTGTGTGGCCACAGAGTTGAAATTATTTAGTGTTTTACTCTGTAACTTTCCCCCTTTTTATTAACTATTTTACTTTCTCTGCTTTCAAATATTCCCTGTCTTGCTGGACCAACTATGTTGGTCCCATGCTTAATCTTTGCCCAAGTTTTTCATTGGAAAATGTAATTAGGCATCTGTTGCCAGATTTTATTTTTGACAATAGATTGATGCAGGTAACCTCCCTAGCTGTGAGTGTCCTAACAGGGAGAACAGAAGTTCCCCTAAGTAGTCTGACAATTTAGAGGTTCGTTGTTTTTCTCTGGTTTTAAATCCAGCAGAGAAAATGGGTAAGGAGCTGCTGAATGTCAACCTCCCAGTGCCCGAGAGCTGGAAAGGACCTGTGGTCTGGTAATTCCAGGGCTCCCACAATGTCGGAAGACAACTGCATTCCTTCCTACAGTGTGCAACTTCACTCAAGCCCTTTGGGAGAACAACATTTCACTGTAAACCCATGGCATCCCATTCATCATTTCTTATAGTTAATGAAAAGCCCACATTAATGGACTCCCCTTTTGGCCAAAATGAAATTAAGCCAGGAAATGACAACTATAAATTAGAGTTATCTGAGATATATCTTTACCTTTATTATTCTTGGTGCAAGACAATTTGCTTTCTTTGGGGCATTATATTTTTTATTTTTAAATTTAAATACAAGTCACATGCCACAAGATTTACCCCTTTAAAAGTGTACAATTTTGTGGTTCTTAGTAGGAAGTACGATCAAACAATACAATGAATGTTTTAAAAATTACTATAATAAAAGACATATTGCTATTAATTCTCCTCAAAATATTCTCCCTAGCTTCGAACACATTTGTCCCATTGATCATGATAATGTGTCTTTTAATGCAATCAAGTTTTTAAAATTTAAACTTTCACCATATTTTTTCCTCACATCTTGTGTATTTGCAAATTTCTGTAACCATCACCAGTAATCCCAGAACACATCTATCAGCCCCAAGAGAAACCTCACACTCCTTTGCAGTCTCCCCTTGCTTCTCCTACCTAGCCCAGGCAATTCCTACTTGTAAGGCCATCTGTTTGAACTCACTGAGCATTTCTTTAGGAATATTCTGGCAGCTTTGGAAGCACATGGGATGGTGAAGTGGGTACTTGAGGGTACAGAAGACATGGGTTCCAGTTCCCGTGGGTCCCTCCAGCCTGGGTGAATAGGCAGCCCCTGGAGCTTACCCTCCCCTTGGCATTTTGGGAATGAGGACTATGGCACTGATTGGGTAGGTTGTGAGAACCATGGGAGGGCACAGGTTTCAAAGCCTGGCTCACAGGGCTCTGGGCACAACTTCAAGGGTAAAGGCCAGCACTGCTTTCTGATAGAGGAGGGCAGCAGTTCCCTGTGGATAGGGCCCCACCTCAGACGATTGTTTACCCTCCAGTGTGAGGGCACCTGCAGCCCCAGGCCCCACTGAGGAGGCAGAGATTGACTAGGACCTCATGGCTGTGCTCACCTCAGTGTGGACTCATCCGCAGAACACTTTAAGAAACTCTCTCAAATCAGTCACTCTCCTTTCATTCTCAGGCAAAGCCTCTGGTCTCCAGGACATTCTACAGGGCATTCACACTGTTTCCGGCTTACTTTGTTCAGATTCTGCCACCACCTACTCTGTGGTGTGAATTGTGCTTTGGTTATACAGTAAAGCTGGCTGGTTCCCACCATTGATTTTGCCTTTCTGGGGTCTGAAGGAATTTCTTCACCTATTCCTCCTGGATGATAAGAGGTCATTCATTCTTTAAGACCTAGGTCCATCTCATCTCCTTCAGGAATCCCTTCTAGATCCTCCCAACCCAACATTCTGCCCCTCACTCCCTAGCTGTGGTCCCTCTAATCTCTCCATTGTCTCTTTTGGCTGTGTCTGTGCTGCTGGAGAACAGGCTGTATTTCACCACACTATCCAGGGCCCAACACATGGGATGCAGTCAATACTGCTTAACTGCTTGTTGTTTTTCTTTTGGTCAAAAACCTGGTATTCTCTAGATTCAGTTAAGCAGATGCTTATTCTGAGATTTTGAATGACTGGTGCAAAGGGACAGAGTGTGTAAGATTTATTCCCTGCTGTCCATAGTTTCCACGGTTTAGACTGGCCCTAGCTGTGGTCTGATACTCAGCCTCCCTTGCTCCATGCCCTATATCTGACCTGGCTCTGATGCCCCATGCCACCATGAGGTAGCTAGTGTCCTCCAATCAGTTCTTTTCTGCTTCTGGGTTGGTTTCCATAGTTTTCAAGCAAGAAAGCTGTCTGGCATGTAGGATGAATGACACATATGACATCAGTGGCTGTCCATGAGTTTTCTGTGCTAGCAATCCTGTCCCAGAACAATATGCCAAGTTCAGTGAAAAGAACACTTCAGAAAGTCCAGAAACTCTTCTTCCACATGCCAAACTCTATCACTGACTTACTAACATGACCTTGAATGAGTCATTTTGCCACCTACCTTCCCCACATGGGTGTTGTTAGAATTCATGAGCTAATATTCAGAAGTACTTTGTGCTTTAAATAGTGCCTTTCAGCCAAGGAGCTCAAAGAATTATAATCACTGGAGCTGCACAAGAGGTGATAAAGAGATTCCTTAAGAACTGTCATGTTCATCTCAAACTTTTAATGAGAAACTGACTACAATGGCAAATGTTCCCTTCAACAAGTGGTCAAGAATCTGAATATGAAATTTTTAAAAAAAGAAATGTGCATAAAACTTAGAATAGATTTCTTTTCTTCCAAGCTTATTCCCAATAGATTTGACTAACCACCATGACCTTTACAACTTCTGGAGATTCTTAATCTCCATTTCTTATGGGGAAACATTTCCAAAAAGCTGAGAGGGTATAATCTCCCCAGACCTACGGTCAGAGTGATTATGGGATCCTCAGCCGGGCTGAGCCTTGCCCCCACCTCATAAAGAGTTTCCATGCTCACATCTCCTTCCCACCTCCAACCAACCTCTACCCTCCTAGTCTCCATCCTTATCTTCATCCCCACCTCCATTCCTATCTCCATCATCCTCACGTCCATCTCCATCTCTGTCACATCCATCTGCTCTTGGGTACTGGGCTGGCCAGAGCTGGTTATTTTTTACCTGTTGACCTCTGAGCGTGGCTGCCCCCTGTTGGCTCCAGTCCATCTGAGCATGTGGATGTTGTCTCCTTCACTGTCTCCCAGTATAAAACCCCTTGCTGGCTTTGAGCAGAGGACACCTGAAATTAGCTCTCACCCTGTGAGCAGGTGGTGTTTCTTGCCTCCACTTAGCACTTGTACACTGCCTTGCCATCTGAGGCTCATAATTACCCTAAGTTGTTCCAAGAGCTGGTTGGTGGCATTGCTAAGGTCTTCCTTGCTATCTGAAAGAAAGTTAGGTTGTTCTTGCCTAAGGGAAGTACACTGCCCTGGGATAAATGCATGATAAAAACATAGAACCTGTTACTGAATTTCCTCATCTTGGTAATTTAATAGTCAGAGCTGCATAGGGCTTCAGTTATTTAAACTATGATGCAAGCTGCACCATGAGTTCCTCATCTTTATTGTGATTTATGCTGTTTGAATTGCTAAGTAATATTGGTACTTCTCAGTACCACCTGCTTCCATGAAGCTCCTTTCAAGAAAACTTTGATTAAAAAAAGTATATGCACAAGTAGGAAAGATTTCATAGATGTGCCAAAAAAGTGAACTTGTGTAATGTGACAATGGCTTTTCCCCCTCAAAATTATATATACTTGATAGCTTAATCTAAACAAAACCTTAATGTGCTTTTCTTTGACACATTAAAAACTAGAAAAGTAATGTTATACATTTTTAAAATGTTAAGAGTGTCACAATCAATCAACCAGACAAAAACCAAGTAATCTAGAGTTAGAGATCGCAACATTCTTCTCTCTATTTTCATCGATCCTGCTGATGTAACTGGCATAACTTCCATTAAATGAGCCACTTAGTGCCACAAATGTACCCACTAGAGTCCCTCCCTCAGTGCTCCTTAATTACTATCATAAAGAGTTTGGCATTCAATCTCTTCATATGCTAAAGAAATGTAGGCATTCATATTTGACTCCAGCTTCCCTGCCTACTGGCTCCCGCCACCCTGCTTTAATTTCCAAGTGAGTTAAAATGAGTAACAAAGACACCTCAAGTTGGCTGTGGAAATCCATCCATCCTCCTTGAGAGTGTGAGACAGGTGAAAATCTTGACTAGTTGTAGTGATGTTACCTGGTTATGTCCAGTGATTACTGTAGGCCAAGAAGAGTGGTAAGAACTTTGCCTGGATTATTTTTTATCTTCGTCACTATCTCACAAGGCACATAGGGGTGAAGTGACTTGTCATGGCTCACACAGCAAGATTCACACATATGAGGGCAGATACTTTAACAGGCCATTAGAACAAACATGGGAAGAGAGTCTGCCCTCACTTCTTCCCATTCAAACACTTACTAATCTTGAGCTACTGTTACACAATTCATTCCACACCTCTGAGGCTTGGAGCCTCCTCAATGAACTGAATCACACTGTCTGTCTTTCCTGCACCCCCAGGGCTGCTGTACAGATTGGAGAGATCCTTGAAAACTGAGACCAGGCACACAAACATAGGTTATTTTTGAAGGAGAAAGGTGTGGCACAAAAATACACCAGAATGTGACAGACACGGCTCCAGGAGGTGCCCTGTGCTGGGACCAAAATCCTGATCTATACAAGGTTCAAGCCAGCCTGCAGTGACTGCAACCTACAGTACCAGTAACAGGAATTCAGGTGAGGAAGATGTCAGTGTGGCCTCAGGAAGTGACTCTGCAAAGACAGAGAGGACTGGACAGAATAGAAGCCAGCAGAGACCACTCCTGACTAAGACCCCCTGAAGGAGGGGGCTTCTCTCCAGGGAGTGGGAGGATCTTAGTCCTTTCCTCCTACTTTACAAAACAGTAGAGACTGACTGGGTACTTTATAAAAAGTAAACATTTATTACTTACAGTTCTGAGACTGAGAAGTACTAGATAAAGATGCCAGCAGATCTGGTGCTGTGTAACTCTGTTCTTCCCATGATGGAGAGACAAATGGGCTCATGCAAGCCTCTTTTATAAGGGCATTAATCTCATTTAGGATGGCAGAGTTCTCAGGACCTGATAACTTCCTAAAGGCATGGCTCAATATTATCGAAATGGGGATTAGGTGTCAACTTGAATTTTGGAGGGAAACATACATTCAGATTACAGCAGGGCATGGGAATGGGGAGCAGAGTTAGCCCTGAGGGGCTGGACAGTCCTGCGGGCCACAGTGGGGGAGCAAAATGCCAAACTGGTGCCCAGGTAAGGGAGATCCAACAGTCACAGAGTGAGGTCACACATCTCTACATGATGCTGACATTGGGAGAGTGAGGTGAGAAGTGAGGAGCCAGATTCCACAGAGGGTATCAGTAGGGCCCGGGCCAATGGGAAGTATTTGAGGGAAAGGGGAAAAAGCTAAAGATCATTTCAGAATGACTTTGATTTTCCTCAAACTATTATCCCAGTGGAGAAGTCAGGAGGCCCTGGGAACCTGTGCTAGAGGGCAGCAGGAGCTAGGCCAGGGCATGAGATGTGGAGTCGGAGGTCATAGTTTCCATCAAGGTCATTGCTAAGGTCATGGTCAAAGGGCCTCAGGATTCTGAGAGTCTGTGGAGCAGAGTTAAGGATGGAGGAAGCCTGGCCCATTATGGGTGCAGATCCACATTCTAGAGGCAGTACTCAGAGCAGGTCATAGATTCCAAAAAAGTGTTGTGTAATATGCAAATGAAAATTAGTGAACTTGAACAGGGAGCAGCTGAGGTCTTCCCATCATTCCACTCCCCATCTTTAAAACCGAATACCTGATGATCATCTAACACCCTCTCATGAACGTGAGTTTGAAAATGTCTTATAAATTACCATAAATCTAGAATTTTAAGTTCTTTATGTAAGAGTTAAAAGTTCAATATGTCTTAAAACCACAAAACAGGATAAAAGTAGCTTTTAAGCTATGTTCATTTTGACTTAATGAATTTTATTCTATCTTTCACAGTTGTCCCAAATTCTGGTTTTTATTCTTTAGTTGTAATTTAAGAAGATTGTAAAGAATTTTTAAAATTACAATATAATATTTCCATCATTCAATAACACAGGAAGTCATAAATTCCAGTATAAAAACTGTACCTGGGCTCAATCCCCTTTATCACAAAAACAAAACCAATAACAAAGCAAAACATGGCATTACCTGATAACCTGGTAAAATGTAACTCTCTTAGTCCCCCCAACCCCAGTGGATTTAGCCTATCTAGGCTCTGACCAACATAGCTCCTTTAAAACATTTTTTTAGAAATTAAACCTTGGACACACTTTTTTGTTGTTGTTGTTGTTGTTTTGGAACTGGGGATCGAACTCAGGTCCTTCTGCTTGCAAGGCAGGAGGTGGAACCACTGAGCTAAATCCCCAGCCCCCTTGGACACACTTTTTGTTAGACTGCTCTATATTCTCAGTTTTATGTTTCTGGAAATATCAGCTATTCTGTTTATTAACATCAAGGCAGCTTATGGAAGAGTTATATAAAATATAAATAGATGATATAATTCTGAATGTAATAACTTCTGCCAATTTAAAAAATACTTATTGTTTATGTAGTAGGCTATGATCTCACTCTGACTTGCCATGTTATGCTGGAAACATAGCTTCTTTCTGAGATAAGAGTGTGTGAGAAATCTTCTCTCTAATGCTGCAGGGTCTGAGCTGTGAAGATTCCAGAAAACTCAAGATACAAAAGCAGGCAATGCAAATTTAATCACATATGGGATGGTGTTAGCAACATATTTTTATTCCTAGAAGTGCATCACAGAGGGAACCTACCTGAAGGGAAGGGGGAAAAGGCATCTTGACATGTTTTTCTACAAGTGACACCAAAATGACAAAGGTCAAGGTCAAGATGGTTTGTTAATGCAATTCTTAATGAGAGTAGCTTATAAAAGGGGACTTCACAAACCACATTCTCAAGAAAAAGGAAAAGGTAAAATTTGAGCAAGTATGAGAAAGAATTGAAAGCAGAAAGATACATCAGACAGGACACATCTTTAACTGGTTTCACTCTTGGTTCATAGAGCAAACCATTTCACCCACTTATTTAGAAAATTAGTGCCAGCACTAATCATTACTGTCAGGAGTCAGCCAATATGTTTACAGAGCTATGGTCACTTCAAGGGCTGTGCCTCTTTTTCAAGCTTAGAGCTTCCTTATGGGATATTATTTATGTGCTGTTAAACCTCATAAGGAAAATATTAAAGCTATCTAGAATCAACTGAACATAGGAAACAAGCATTAAATTGTGCCATTTGACATGTTACTTCCTAAGGTACATAAATCTGCCAACATTTGCTAAATATGTAAGTGATTTATTATATTTTCTTTAGCATGTTTAATTAGAAGAACATAAATCTGATCAGTGACCAGGTATGAGACCTCCAAACCCTCATTAATTAATTAAACAAGAATATCTCAATGCAACAAATATATTTCCCCACTGCAGCTATCTGGAATGTAGCTGTTCTGGCAGTGGGTGAAGAAATAGAAAGAGGTATCTGAATTTGGGGACCAGAAGTGGAGGAGGGTGGATCCTTCAAGCGGTTTTCAGAGTATGTGATGTCCCATAATCAGTATATATCTTTGAGGGGTGTAAAGCTTATGGCACTGAACAGAAATTGAGCTCCTTGTGCCTGGCTGGTGCTTAAGTGAATGAGATTTGTTAAAGTAAGTTCTATCATTTCTCCCAGAAGGCTGGGGATGCTCTGCCTGTAGAATATGGGTCTGGGTTATTCTCTGTGATTTGTAGATCCAGAAAGAGCTCCCAAATTTTCAGAGCAGCCTATGGTTACTTTTCCCTCTCCCTCCCCAGAACTGCTTAAAAAAGATGCAGTTACATTAAATCAACAAAGTTGTGTTACCTGAAAATTTTGTTCATAAAAGCGAAATCTCCCCAAGTGGTTAATTATTCTGTTTACAAACAAAAACAGCTTTGGCTAACCTACCACCTGGCACAAGGGTGGGTGTGTGCCAGGTTCAGGGCACTAGGAGGACTTCTGAGATTGAAGCTGTTGTGTCCCATTGGGCACCAAGGTTGGTTTGCCTCGATGCCTCCCTTGCAGGCTTCCCATCTCAATTGCCTGGTATAATTCAAACACTAAGGACATAAAACTTCCCTAAGAGTCTGCAAATGGAGAGCTGCTATTGCTCCTTTAAACAGTCTGTGGAAGTGGGATACAAGCAGTGAAGATGAGCAATCTGGAGAGCCTGGAGAGCTGCATGAATGAGAAGGGAAGGCTGCACATCAGTGGGAGGCGAGTGACTCTGCACTCTTCCTGCCCTCCTTTCCCACAGCCTGAAGCATCTGTCCTGTTACCCTGAGAGACTGTCCTCTCTCTCCTAGTTCTGTCTTCTTTAGACCCAGTGGATGGTGCTTTTACTTCTGAAATACTTTCCAGCCAGGTTCAAACTGAATGAACAATGGGGTTTAGATAGAATGAACCCCGAGGACACACATGCTGGTGGATTCATTTCAGCAGATGGCAGAGCCCTTTGCCAACAGCAGCACCCTGTTCTGACAGATCTCCCAAATGAGTGATTAATTTCTTATCCTACCATATAAATCTAATCACTGCAGACAGAGCTAGCTACGCTTCCACTCACTTCCTCCTATCGAGTGCCTGGAAAGTGGCTGATGGCTCCACACACAGAGAGCTGGCACACACACAGAGATAAGGGCACCATGTTCAAGGGAGTACATAGGTTGCCTG